GGGGATTGGGGACAAGAGATTGGGTATTCGGACGTCGGACGTCGGAGGTCGGGGGGCTGCTGTTGCTGTAGTTCTTTTTGGCGTGCTTCAATTGCCATGAAATTTATGTGTTGGCGCTCAGCGTGAACTTGAAGCGCATAAATCCACATGAAACGGATATTAAAAAGCATCATGAAACGAGAGCCGAAGCAAACCCAACCCCAAAAACCTCATCCGTTTCGGGCCTATTACCAAAATGCCTGCATATAGACATATTATATAGCTGATTGACTTCGATCGCATTGGCTTTGTTGCCTTTGAATTATGAACATAGAAATTGACAGGCGGCAAACGGAATTTCTTTTCATTTTTCTTTCCTGCGTTCGCCGAGGGGAAAGTGTTCAACAGCCGGGCATAGCTGACAGTGGCAGGGTATTAGATAGATGATATGAGATTGGCTAAAACTAAATGGATGTACACGTTGTGAGTTTCAAGGACAGGAGTTAAGGGTGCACTTGAGCTGATTTTGTTAGTATATTTTTCAGATTAATTGAAATCTTACAGCAAGCATTTGAAGAGCTGTTAAGTTCCTTTTTTGTTTCTCACTTGCAATATTTGTAATTTATTGAATAAAAACTTAAGTCGGAATTTTTCCACCCTCAGGGGTGAAACATGTGTGGAAAACTGTTTGCTAGCTAGTTTGATTGCTTTCTCAGCTTCAAACTCTCTTTAAAACTGCAACAAACTAATGAAATCGCCACAAATTACAACGTCTTTCCAAAATTCACGCACAAATGCGGAAAGTGCTTGAATGTATCTCGAGTTGTAAATTGGCCACGCAACTAATTCATTCCGATCAAGTAAACAAGCGCACTAAAACAAGGCGACACCCATAAATATTTACGGGGAAAACTTCCACAAAATTGTGAAAACACAGCTCAGAGATTTAAATATATAAATTTGCCCATAAGCCGTTGCAATCGCATCGTTGTCGCACTTGCCCTAGAGTCCCTCAATTCAGATGATAGTTTTCAAATAATTTAGCATGTTTCCATGCCAGCAAATTGAATTGAAGTGCATGCAATTGTATACCTCCATCTGTAGCTGTAGCTGTAACTGTATTTGTATCTCTATCTGCATAGCTGTATCTATATCTGAAAGTTTGACATGCACAAGGCCAAAGCATATTCATTCTTCTACTCGACAGAGATGAGCGCGTGTCGAGTTTCTTAACACGATTCATCGCTTTCGGAATTTAATTTAAGAGACATTTTTGACAGAACGAGTGTTGCCTGAATGCGGGTTTGTATGGAATATGTATCGCCTAGGGGACAAATTCACGTTACGAACAAATATTCAATGCATATAATCAAAGCATAAAATAATATATTTTTACTTTTTAGTTTAATACAAAAACAAACTGTTTACAAGAATGACTTGTGTTTTCTTCTGGGCCGCATAAATAACTGTAGATGGTTGACGGCTCGAATCCACTTTATGTCAGGTTTGGTTCACAATTCAAATCCGCCAGCTACCTTTTTATTGGCCCTATTACAATTACATTTGTCTTTTCACTTCCACGGCTCGAATTGACGACCTGACTTTGATTTCGGTTTGTAAAGCTGGCATTCTATATATATATATATTTTACAAATTTCAAATTTCAGTTAAACAATTTAATATATTTTTTTAAATACTATCCGTAGTACTGATAATATTGCAAGCCTTACACATTTTCATATTCAAAATGCGGGCCACATTTGATCTTAGTCCAAAATTTTCAACTATCAAATATGGAACCCAAGTTAAGGCTGAATCATACGTAAAAGTTTTCTAAATTTTGATTTGGTTCAGATTTGGAATTGGCTTATTTTTGGTAAGTTCATGGTAAACATCAATTGGAATTCAGAGCATGAACCGCATCGGCTCAAGCCCAGGTTGCAGGCTTGTTTAACGTAATGTACATTAGCTTAATTTTAAATATCTTCCTATTGACAATATTTGCCGGGCATGCATAATAGATCGTGTTAGTTTATTTGTCAAGCTTTTGTCACGACACGCAGCCAGCTCTGCGATATTCGTACTGTTGCCAAAAAATGTCTGCCTGCTTGCTTCAGTCAGCTCCAGGCCTGGAGGCAGCTCCGACTCTCTGGTCCTGGCATATTTGATTTTGTAATTTGCATTTGATAAGCAAGCAGCTAACCGAGCCAAGGCGAGTCGAGTCGAGTCGAGTCGAGTCGAGGCGTAGCTCAGCACGATTTGGCTCTGTCCTTGGCAGCCTTTTGTTTTGTTTTAATTCCATTGAGCTATGCTATCTAACATTATCCATCTGAGAAGCTGCCATCATCTCTAGCTCAATGTGCTGCCGCCAGTTTGTTTATCTACAATTTTATTAGGTATTTGTATTTCCATTCTCGTTCTCATTTTTGTTGTCACTTCAGCTTTGCCCCGGCCAATGCCAACTTACATTAGCACATACTCTCTGCCGAGTGTGTGTGTGTAGATGGGTGTCAAAGTTTCCTTTGGCAAATTGTGCAGCTTTTGAACTGACAAAAATTAAAAATACCCAGGGGCGTCGTTTGACAATTGTATCCATATTATGCCCAGGGATTCCCTGCGGACACGTTCCCAGCCGCTAGTTGCCCAAAAATTCCAATTTATTGAAAAACATCATTTGTTTTTGTTTTGGCTTTTATTTTGAATACCAATTGTATATTTGACTTGTTTATTGTATATAAACTACGCTTAGTCAATAATATTTATTCGTGTTAATACTTTAATTTTGAGATTTTTCCTGATTTTTCCTATTCCATTTAAGATGCAATTTTAGACAAGAATGAAAATGAATGAGCTTACCGAGATATTGAGTAATTTTATATATGTAAAGGCATGAAATGGTAATTATGTGATAGAAAAATAAGAAGGGAATTTATTGAAATATATTTGAAAATAGCAAAATGCCAAATTTCCTCAACAAAAATACAAATTCTGAACAAGTACTGAGACATGAGCTAAGAAAGTATAAAAAGCTCAAGAGTGTAAATAATGAATTATTTGTTTAATAAAATAAATCGCCATTGAAACATATATTAACGCATATTTAAAATACAATCTTTGTGAGTTTTATTTTTGTTAATCAGAAAAGAACACATTTATCTGTGAGCCAATATAGAAAATCGAAAAATAATCATAAAGAGGTTATATTAATAAAAAATCAATAAGTAGGGCATGATAAAAGAATGATGACGATTCCTGAGAAATGTGTATGCCGAAAAGTGATTAGGGACAGGATGAGATAATGTTACGACAGGACTGTCTTAGCAAGTATTATATAGTTCAAATATATGAGACACTTGTTTGTTCACACAGGTGTCATTTATATGGTAACTAACGATACTCGCTGCAAGTCTAACTTATACAAAGCTTATACTGTCAAAAAGTAAAAGCAAAAATAATGAATGTATTTGTTGAACAAGAGCTTCATTTGAGTAAATGATGAATGCATTTGGTAAACAAGAGCTTCAATTGAATAAATTTAGAATGCATTAGTTAAACAAGAGCTTCAATTGTTTGATGAGTGAATGTTGTTTGCATTGAATGAAATACAACCACTGCAGATCAAAAAACATTGGTCAACAAATTGCACGTTATAATGCACACAAGTGTTGTATAATCTTAGTCAACACTGGTAATCTAAAGTCTAACTAACAACGGTATATCCATTAATAATATCTAGTTATGTTATATCCTTAATACATATTTGTCCAAAATGAACAACAAATTTATTTTCAAGAATAAATCATATAAATAATAGCACATACACATCAAATAGACAAAGTTAAAAGAAAAATAAGAAATAAAATATTGCTTATTTAAGAATACATAAAACTGAAGCATAATTACAAATTACTTATACTCCATAAACATTACAAACTAAACATTTAAACAGAAACAGCTATCACAACTCTGTCCTAATATACTTTTCTGGCAAGACTGAAGCAAATCAAATTTCTTACAATTAACAATAACATAAAAAACGTTATAAAAAAAAAAAAAGGATTAAATATAACGTTGCAATTGACATTCAAAATTTGATTTTCAATTTCTTTATAAATATTTGTAAAACGTTAACTGTTTGTTATTTTGTTCTTTCTCATCTATTGCTTATGTTGACTTGAGTGCATTGAAAATTGTTTGTTCATAGACCCAATTGAAAAAGGTTAGATCGGATAGGTAGAGTATGTGCTATATAGACGAGAGGCTGGAATTCAATGCGAACATAACTTTGTTGGTTAGTTTTAAACGGCATTTGTAAACAATTACGCACGCAGTTTACAAATGCTTTGTATTTGTGTTGTTGTTGTATATATATGTATATCTTAGTATGTATTTATATTTGTTTGTTTGTGTTAGCTTTGAGCTTGGACATTAAGTTAAAACTAGTTAAGATATTGTTAAATCGAATTGCAGCGTCAAGTATGTAAGTATAGTAAGTAAACGATAAACCATATACCCATTAAACATGCATGAGGACCTTTAACTTCTAGGTACATATTGTGTGTATCCATATACATATATAGATGTACATATCTATATATACATATTTATAGTGGCTATAGCATAGAGTTTGTGTATATATATAGATACATTAAAAATTATATCAAACAATATTTATATTTTTATACTCATTCAGCACATAAATAATACGACTATTTACTGTCTCCTTAAGCACAATTCGAATTACCAAAATTGCATTTTATAGCCTTCAATTCAACGATTTCCATGGTGCATGTATTGATGCCTCCAAGAATCCAATATATATGCGTCTGTTCTTTATAAATAAATCTTGGCCGTGTCAATTATATCTTTGTTTCCAGCTTGTACTGTAATGACTTTAAACCGAATTGATCAGCATTTGATATCTATTTCCTAGAATAAAGAAATCTCAGATCTCAGATCAATTCATCTATGTTCCTTACAGAATCCTACTAACATATTTTGGCTCATACATTAACAATTGATTGTTTATTTTTTGTATATTCCCCCGATTGGGTTTGTCACATCCGAAAAGTACATCAAGTCAATTAAATATTCATATAGTCCAGATTTGGTTTGATAGGTATTAAAAGACCACATTTGAAACTTAACCTTCCCGTTCTTTGAAAGACTGGGGAATGCGCACAGTTTTTATATGATGCTATAGCATCCTTATAAGTAGAATTTGAAATATGAAAAGGTACCAATATCAAGGTACCAAGGTATCAATAGACTTGGAGTTCGGTTATCAGGTTTAAATATTGCAATAGTTTCATTCGAATTTAATCTGGACAATTCATTGTCTTGCCAAGCATTTATATTCTGAATCGACAATTTCGACTCAGCAATTTCTTGCTGAGAACACGTTGAGGAAGTTCTTGAGTTTATTCCAGACGAAATTGATGACAAGACAAATGCTAATATAACGATTTTTGGAGCAATCAACACAACATAGAACTCATGAGCTCTTGACTATCAATTATCGAACCCCTTGCGACTAACTTTTATCTGGAACTGACATCCCAACGACCCTATTTAATCTAACTTCTGAAGGTTTCAACCGTTGACCAACAACGATTAGTATTCAATATACATATCAACACATAGATACAGCGAATATGTTTTTACACATAGATATATATGGATATTTTGAGATATATATAAATAGAGATTAGACAACTGTTCAACATACTGTATAGATACTATTGTGCTATGGTATAGATACTGTGGTAATTAGAATTCTTTGTATTGGAAGATATTGATATTGAAATTGCCTTTATTTCAGTTTACCCCAATAATATTGGAGCAAAACACTAAAGTACCTTCAGTTCCAGGAGCACTAAACATATAGATTATATGCATACCTATAAACCATCCTTATCATAGCAATATTAACTTACAGCTCCGCTTACAACCTACACAAAAGACGATCTAAGATATCAAGATTTCTGACTCTCTCTCTCTCTCTCTCTCGCTCTTTCTGTATCTCTCTGTCTCTATCTATATTGTGCTTACATCGCTGTCTCCATCATATTCATTTCTTTGGATTTTTGATTATCGTGAGTATATGGGCGTGTTTGTATGTTTTGTATACGTTTGTTTTGTTTTTGTTTTAAATTATGCAAAAGCATTATAGTTTGAGATTATTATGTCAGTTAGAGATTAGGTTAGGGTTTAGGAACAGAAGGGAAGCAAGGTGTGGCTTGGGTGGATTCGTTGCGCTACCAACCGCTACTGCTGCTCTACGTGCTACGTCCGATTTGCAACCAGGCGAGCAACAACTGCAAAGCCGGCTGTAGCAGCACTATTTTTCAGATATCGGTATTGATATTGATGCGGGTCAGAAACTCGCCTTGCGAATCGGCCACAGCGCGTATTATCTCCAGCAACAGTTCGCGCGACAAACCTCCAAGTTTGGGCAGCCTGGCCACTTTGGCAAAATCTTTGACAATTAATTTCAATGCATAATCCTTTATGTCATAGATTTTTGTTATATCGGACGCCTCCAATGTCTGCAGCACATTCTCTGATGTTATATTATGCTCCAATGAGTATTTGCAGAAGGCATGCAAACGATTGTTGGACAGGCCATAAAAACAGGGTGCCTGAAACAAGTAGAGTGCATCCTGTGGCGGCATCTTGGTCTCCCCATAATATATATAGCGTAACAGCGAGTGGAAAGCCTCCAGCGAGGGTGAAATTTCGCCAATTTGTATCTGATGGATTAATAGATTAACAGACTGATATATAATTGATAACAATCGATGGCATTTACATTGACGGTATTATCCGGTGGCATGAACGAGCGAAACATGCCCTGGAAATAGGTACAACGTGCTGATAACACAGATTTATGGGCCGGTATCACATGATCCTCCAGTATGAGGCTTATATCGCAAAAGTCCTTGCCCGTTGTCTCCAAGAACATGGACAAATCCAGCTCCAACGTGGTGCCTAAATGCATGCATGGATATGGATTTGTTAATATATATAGATATATCTGTATTGGCGTTAGCCGGCCATTTCCGTGCCGAGTACTTTACTTCCGTCGCGCTGGATTATTCAAATTAAGGAAAACGAGCATCGATTCTAAGTTTTATGCGGAGCTTAATGAGCTTAACTCCAGACAGACGGAAACTAACATTCGACTATTGGCCTCTTATTTGCCAAACGAGGAGCAAATTAATTTTCACGTTTTCTTAATAAGAAAGAATACCATTATATATTATACCTATTATGAACGCCTTCTTTGGTACGGCTTTGCACAGGCTTGTGACTGCTGAGTTTGGTAAAGATTATTTGAAAAACGGAAAACTTTTCCCTACAAAAACCCAGTTTACGACCAATTCTTCCCGTAGAGCTATATAGTATAATACTCCATAGCTTGGTCAAGAAATCTTGAAAATCAAAATGTTTTTCATACCAGAACTAAAAATTGGACTTATTCCTATGGCATATTTACATGGACACATGTACTGCCTGCTATACACTGAGCGAATAGCTTGCATTGGTTCGGAAACGTCTTTTTCAATGCGTTACAAGGGTATTTAAATAAGTTTGAGGCTTAAAAAAAGGTTGAAAACAGAAGAAACTACATTCCATGCATGTGGGTGGAGTTTTTGCTTATACATACATATATAATATTTCAAATAAGTACTCACCAATATTGGACTCAAAGCTGATGTCCAAGACCAGTTTGCTGGGATGCAAACGTTTGCGTATAATCTCGACAAGCAACGGCTTGTCAAGATCGCTGAACTCACTGGACATGACCACTTCGGTGAAGTTCTCCTCCTTGATAATGAATTGCATGCAGTGATCCTTAATGATTTTGATGCTGAGACGTAAATCAACGAAATTGAATTGAATTGAAGTGGATTGTAGACGGCCAGAAACTCACTTGTTTTTGTCCGCATTGTAGAGGGCTTCGAGCACATTTATCTTGTTGATCTTATAGTCCAGATACTGTATGCAGCCGTGCGCCAGGCGCGGCATGGTGAACAGACCAGCCAGCTGATAGATGTCCGTGATGAGTATGATTATGTTCTTGCTGTAGGAGTCCTTCAAATCAATGCGATCCGTATAAATGTAGTTAAGTATGATCTCGAACGCTTCGGGTGAGGCATGCGACAGTCGCACCTCCAGCATGGGCACACGATCCGCACCGACTCCCGTATTTAATACCAATGCATCGACCTGACCAACACCGTAGACCTTCTCCATTTGCTGTTGGCGCGCCTCACGCGCCGACAAGATCTTGTTGCGCAAATACTTGGAGCGTGCCGCTACAAAGGCAATGTGCGCCAGAATGCGTATCTCTTCAGCGCCCACCACAAACTGAATGTCACAGAATTCCTTCTCGTGAATGAAATTGCCAAAGTCGTCGCGCAGCGTACACTTGGGATAGCTGGAGAACTGAAAGCGATACGTATCGCCACGTCGGACGCTGTTGTCAACGGTGCCGCCAAAGATATACATTGCATCGCTAATTACGGCCGATGCATGGAACACACGACCGGATGGCACATCTGAGTTCTGTTCCGGATGTATTACAGACCACACCTGCGAGTCCAGATCGTAACAGTGCAAATCATTCGGCAGCGTGGAATCTGCCGAGCCGCCAAACACATACAGGAAACGATCATGATGCACCATGGTGTGACCATAGCGGCGTGATGGTGGCGCCGACGTAGCGCCACGCAGCACCGGCTCATTGGAGATGCGACGCCAGGTGCGCGTCTTAAAGTGAAACTCAAACAGCGAATTTGTTATCTGCAAGCCACTCTGGCCAGAGAAGACATACATGGCATCGCGTGCAACGGCAACGGGAAAATTGCAGCAAGTGGGCGGACGATCACCCTGCTGTTCAACCTCCTCCCATTGATGATTCTCGCCGGTCAAATTCAGCGTCCACATATCATTAAGTCGTGCATTGCCATCGTAGCCAGCATAAATCCACATTTTGTTATCATAAACTGCAGCACCATGCGCCGAGCGTGGCACGGGTTGCCTGTGAAATTTACAGGGAGAGAGAGGAGCAGTTTTTAGTTGTGATTCCGGCCTCACGACTGGTGATTCGTATTACCTGCCCGAGAATTTCCACTCCACCCACATGGCGCTGAGAAATTTGTACTCAAACAAATCATTCTTATTGGTCAGATTCGAGTTGGAATGTATGTCGCCCGTATAGCCGCCAAAGATGAACATTGAGCTGCCCGCGACAACAGCCGAATGATGATAGCGCGGTGCTGGTGGTGTGCCCGTCGCGCATGCCCGTCCCCATGACTTGTCCTTGACCCCAAACCTAATCAGATCGTTGAGCATGTTCTTGCCATTGTCCCCGCCGAACACAAACATGGCATCCTTGTAGGCAACCACCGTGTGCTTGCTGCGCCTGTAAGAAAAACAACAAGAACCACGTTTAAACATGCTGCTGCTTTGCGCACCAGGCTGTACTTACTTGGCGCCCACAAACTCGGCACACTCCAGCATGCGTGTCCATTGATGCGTAGCCGTATAGGAGGTGAAGTCCACATTGAGCGCATTGCAGCTGTAGCTGCCCGGCGAGTTGTCTTTGCCATTGACGCTGCTGCTGCAGCTGCCATTGCTGCTGCCATCGTATGGCACCACAGCGGAAGCCGTGCTGCTACTGCTGCTGCTGCCAGCGCCATTGCCGCGTGTGCTCCGCATTGAGCTCGATGTGGACATCTTCAGGTTGTTGCGTATATGCTGTGCGTCTAAGCAGCCAGCCGTTGATGCACTTTTACGCGCCTTAATCCGTTTGCCCGATTTTGATTCTCGCAACTGGATCGCCTCAGTCCCAGAGGCAAATGCCAACTGCTGCTGCTGTGAGCTGTTTGCTACGCATGCGGGGCAAAAGACGGAGGCTGGTGTGCTGCCACCGCTTGTACTCCTACTCGCACTCCCACTCCCACTTGCGACCAGGCCACAGACAGCACTTAGGCCACTGGATATTGAGCTGGAGCCAAGGCCGTAACTGGCTCGGCTTAGTGCTCCACCGCTGGTGCTGCTACCACTGCCACTCCCGCCACTGCTGCCGTTGGCCACGCCAACGCCTCCGCTTGGTATATCTTCCGCAGAACCATTCGTGTCCGCGCCAAGTATGGACTTTAGCATTAAAGCATTACAGGTGTAGAATCTCCTTCGTTGGCTTATCTTGATGGAAATTACGCTGCAGGGCCAATGCCTTGCTCAACTCTGACGCTATTTTCAAGATCACTTTTCACAACCCCTGCAGGTCAAGAACTAGCGATGGACAAGCAAAGAATTTCCCTGTATCGATATTTAAAACGAATCAATCGATAGTTTATATCGGTAAAATATGACTGAACCATCCCAGGAATAGTGCGTTACAAGAGATTACGCCATAAATAGCAAACGATTGTTTCCATATATGGTGACGTCAACGCTTACTGTATTCTTGACTAAGCAATGCGAATGTGGGTCTCAATATTTTGAATGCGTAGCATCTATATAAATCTATATGGGGTCAAATGATAAATGCAATTACCGAATTAATAATTCTAATGGACTTGAACTTCGTTAGCAATCATGACGTCAGACATGCCAAATGAAATAATAAATCAAAAACCGCGGCGTTATCTTGTACTTGCCATAATTTCTGGCACCATGCTTGCGTATGAGCAACCCTGCTTGGTAGCCAAAACCGCGGCAAAGACCACAAATAAATTATAAATAAAGCGAAATAAATTTAATAACAAACTGTTAATTAAAAAAAAACTATAGCCCTGCAGCAGCCGTGTGGTTGATTGCTGCGCTCACCAAATGGCAAGCAGCTCACGGACCACTATACTGCCGCAATCGAAAGAGGCGCTGCTGAAGTCCTACAATGCGCGCCTCAAAGATGATGTGCGCAGCATGTTGGAAAACTTTGAAGGTAATAACATATACATTTATGCTACATATATATGTATATAAGCTGGGAGCTGGAAATGGCGCGAACGCTGAAGCTGGATCTGCCAATGGGGCTAGAAAAATGATTTGAAACGACGCTCGGTACGGACACGTTGACGACGCTGTCGTATCATGCGATAGAGCAGTTCCATGCCCTCAAGAACGCCATGCCCGTTGGCGGCGCTGACGCCGTGCACCTTCCAGCGCTGGTGTAGCTCATCCAAGCGCAATCGCAAGGCTAGATCAGCCGGTGCAATGGCATGCGGCAGATCCTGCTTGTTGGCGAAAACCAGTACGACACTGTCCTTTAGCTCGTTCACTCGCAGAACCGAATGCAGCTCGGTCATGGCCTCTGGAAAACGTTCAACATCGGCGGCATCCACCACAAATATAACGCCAGCTGCATTATTGTAGTAATAGCGCCACATGGAGCGCACACGCTTCTGGCCGCCAATATCCCAAACAGTTAGACGGAGGCGCTTGTATTCCAATAATTCCACATTGAATCCAATGGTCGGTATGTTGGTTAGAGTGGCGCCCAGCTTAAGTTGATACAGAGTTGTGGTCTTGCCGGCTGCGTCCAGTCCAATCATCAACACACGCACATCCTCCTTGGCAGCAAACCGATCGAAGAAAAATGAAAATGATGTGCCCATTGCGTATGCGAATGCGAATTTTGTTGTATTTTATAAATGAGAACTGAGCAAATATTTTTGCATGTAACTGTATGTAAATGACAAGATCCACACGCGTTCTGGCTCCAACTGTAGCGCTGCCTGGCTGCCACAAGGCAACCATAGCCTCTCTTTAGGCCCAGAGGCATTTGTTTATGCCACCCGATACGAGCAGAGTGTGTGTTCTGTGTGTTTTCTCTCTTTTGCACTCCGCTCTCACACAATAACTGACTCCGTTGTTTATGCATTTGTTTACAGAAATACTGAAGCTGGCGCGGCGCGAAAGTCACAGTCAAATTTCAAAGATAACACAGTGCGAGCAGGATGCACTAGAGATGCAAGTGAGAGCCGCCAATATGGGTAAGCGGACAACTAAATACATATAGAGGCCACAGATATCAGTTAGCTTTTTATGGTGGCGATTAAATACCCTGCCAAACATACCATGACAGTTGTACGATATACTATCCTGATCTTAGCCATACAACATCGTTGTTTATATGACAAACAACAAATACACACGTATTATACAGGATATCGATATCAACGGATAGTTCCCATGGCAGCTTAATTATATTGTAATACTATGTTGATAAGTTTTATCTAGAACTATTTGGGATATTTTAAAAATCTTACAAGATAAATTGAACCCTAAAGCAAATATTTCTTCATCTTTACAAACTAAGAATGTTTTCTTTGAATAACTCTATTACTACTTATAGTGCCGATATATATATATATACATATATATATATATATATATATATATATATATATATATATCGACGACAAATACCCTACCTACAACAAAGCGTATTTGGGGCTGGCTCCTTAAATGACTGAACGCCCATTTTAGGACCCATTTAAAATACCTTCGAAGAGAGTATGTTGACAGCCCTTTCTCTGTCTTGCAGTACGAGCTGGTGAATCGCTGATGAAGCTAGTTGCAGATCTCAAGCAATATCTTATACTCAATGACTTTCATTCGGTGAATGAGGCAATCACAAACAACTCACAGCTGTTTCGGGCCACGCAAATTGAGTGCGACAAAAAGTTGATGAAGCTGCGCGACGAGATGGCCATGGACCTGTACGATCTGGAGGAGGAGTACTACACTAGCATATTTAAATAGCTCTTAATTAGAATATAGTTAGCTACACATCTTTATATATATATATGTATATATATTATACATGTATGTATATGTATATGTATATGTGTATACCTTGTGTATATGTATGTAGAGATTATGAAAGAATGAAAATGCATGCATGATTAATGAAAATCTTAAAACTTCTATTTAGGATTAACACTGCTAATGCTGGGGCGTTCCTTTGAGTTCCTTTGATTATCTTGATCACCATGCGACAGAGAGGACAACGATGCCGATGTATTGTCCGCTGTGCAGAGCTCATCGTTGACGTTATCCACAATGTCGCCGGTATAGAAGAGTATCGCCTTGGGCACAATTTGGGTGCGCAGCAAATAGCCCACCTCAAAGTCGGCGCCAAGTACCATTTTTGTCTTCTCATCGGCCAAAGATAGATCCATCGCCTGCGGCGGTGAGAAGAATCGAAAGAATGACTCACGTGGCATCACCTTTGGTATATTGCGTGCACCTTTTCGGGGACGTTTCTGTTTGACCGTCTGTAAAGTCAAATTAGAGCCATCCCGCCAGTGGATGTGACAGCCCTCGCAGCGCACAATTTCCGGACCCTCGAACATAAATGGATAGTCCTTGTCCGCCTCGTGGCGCAGTATATATTTTTTGGTTAGCTGCAGAGAGGATGTGTGCAAATACCCATTGGGCCGAAACTGAAAATGAACTGTATAACTATCTGGCTCGTAACTAATGCGCACATCGATCAGGCACTCGAGCAATGGCTCATCGTGGTCCTGCACCAGATCTGAGATAAGGGCCACATTGCGGAAGACCGTTAACCAGAAACTAGGCACGCCCATCGCATTGGATGGCAAGTGATGCAGCTGTTCGGTCAGCTGCTTAAATTCCTCCGTGGTCTTAATCTCCTCGAGCAATTCATCGGGCTCCTCGCGCCAATAGCGCTCTATCACCGGCGGCTCCACATCACCGGCGACAATATCACGCCGGACATCAAAGAGCGTACAGCTCTGCAAATAGAAACGCTTCTCCAGATCATAGACCTCGCGAAAGAACTGCTCCGATATCTTAATCTGCTGCAATTGATTGTGCTTCAGCGCCAACACACGATTGCGCACCGTCTTTGGCAAATTATCAACCATGTGCTGTAGAAAGGCTCTGCGACTGTTCGACGGCATCTCCGCCGGGCTCAACTTAAAGCTGTCGGAGATGGCACCGGGACTCCGACTGCGACTGCGACTGCGACTACGACTACGACTCCTACTACGATGGCAATTACGAATTGGGGCAGTTGGCGTATTCATCGCATCCTTCACATTTACAATTGTCGCCGTTGAGCTGACTTCCGAGCTGGTGCCAATGTTGAACATCTTAAAACCTATGAATTTTGATATTGAATTTTGAATGGAAGCCTGACAAAATTCTTTTATATTTCTTTTTTTACTTCTATATATTTTGAAAGCAAAATGAAAACTGTTTCTATAAACAGCAAAAAAAAATGTCAGACAAAAATTCAAGTCGTCAACTCGCAAATCAAAATCATGTCAAGCAACAAAGTGCAGTAGGGCTTAAAGCACATTATAATCTACAAGAAAATACAAATAAGAAATAATTTAAGAACAAGACAATGCGACCGATAATTAGATAACCTTATAGGCCTTATGGCAAACGTTTTTTGCATAACTCTATTTCCGATTGTAGTCCGAAAACAACTTAAGATTGTGAAATATTCTATACATGTCGAGTTTGTTTTATCAAGCTCTTTGCAATTAAGAATTTAATACTAGAGCGCATTGACTGTTCGTTTTTTTTGGTCAAGAATATATGTATACATATTCTTCACTATAATATCCGTTAGCTTTATCATCGTCTTCTAACTATTGCATATGAACAGAAATGCGAACGTGGCTATATCTTCACGTCTGTTGATACTGATCCTTATGGGATCCCTTTAAGCGTTACACACTTCTTGATATAATCATAATACGCTCTACGAGGGTGTTAATTATATACCCTAGGGTATACAACGCCGCCAAGATAGAGCTTTCAGGAATTCTACGAATAAGCACTTCAAGCGATATGCTCGGCAATCTAAATACTGCAATGATGACAGTTCTGTCAATGTTTAAACAAAAACCAAACCCTAAATGTGGACTTAGTAATCTCTAATTGATTGATTTAGAGGGACATTCGCTCTGGAATTTGAACTTCGTTAGTATCATTGATATAGCCATAGAGCGCTGCCCTATTGAAATATGAATTCGATGAAATGTCCAGAACCGTACTTATAGAATGTTATCCAATTTAATGCTTCCATGGTTGGGTAATCGTGGGCGTAAACCGATATTTGTCGTAGGTCAGTCAATCATAAAACAGCATGAATACTGATTACCTTCCCCCGTCCCTTCCCCCGCATAACCAATTTACAAAGGTCTTAATAGTTCTTGAGTTTTACCTTATCGCTGGAACACGGTTCGACGCAGCTGCACTGGATCGTTACTAATCCCAGGCATAAGACCGCGTTCGATAACACAAGTCATTGTCTTTGCCTTCATAAATCAGGGGTATATAAAATACGTAACCGCCTTCCTTGTTTTATTTATTGATAGAAAATCCCAAATAATTTCTTATCTTATCCCAGATTGCTTACGGCTGTGGCTCGGTTAGTTGATGTATTTTTAAATATTTAAAGTACTTGTCGGTGATCCAAATTTAATATATGTTATTTGCTATAATTCGATGCCATTTAATGGGTAAAAGAAGACGAAGTTTCTTCTCGCTAAAGTCAAGCAAATGTTTTTTAATTTCGGATATACCTTTTACACGCCAAGTTTTTATATTCTTGTTATATATGTTATACCATATGCATTTTATATACATATATACCATATGCATATATTCTTGATCAGCATCAACAGGCGAGTAGATATAGCCATGCCCGGCTCTTCGTTTATCTATTTCCATGCCAAACTAGTTTCTCAGACATATGTAAGAATCGGCCAGATCGGAGCGATTCTTCGAAAATTAAGTTCTTGTATGAACAAGTTTTTTGTTTCAATCGATATCTTGACCAAACTTGGGATTTAAGGACTTCTATATGCTTCCTACATATGAACAATCTAATCCATTTATTATATTACTAGCGGGTATAACCCGGCCTTGCCCGTGGCACGTATGTTATAAAATCAAAAAAGCTTTGAAAATGATTTTGAAACTGATCGGACGGGAATCAAACGAACTCTTAAAATTCACCAAAAAAATCTTAAAAATGCATTTTCCACCGAAGGAGTTTAGATTTTGCGAGAAATGTGAAACACGTCTCTAATGATTTTTCTTATAGATCTTTGGAAATAAATTTGAACACAAAACGTCATCCACCAAATCTTCGACCCCCATTTGCACCAAGGAGGGATGGATTTTTCAAAAAGTGTGAAACACCCCTCAAATGAATTTGAATATAGATCTTTGAAAATGAGTTTGGGGCCGATCGGATGGTAAACAAAAAACTTTCATACAACCGTTTTCCGCCAATTTACCACTGTTGCGGGTGGAATTTTCCAAATCGCTGAAATACGTACTTCTTAAGTTCTTATGAAGAGCTTTGAAAATAAGTTTGAAGCAAATCGGACACAACTTAAAACTTCGCACAAAAAATCTTTAAATCGCATTCCCCACGAAGAAGTTTGAATTCTGCGAAAAGTGTGAAACACGTCTCAAATGATTTTTCTAATAGATCTCTGAAAATGAATTTGAGTGCGAAACGTCACCCACCAAATCTTTGACCTCCATTTCCACCAAGGAGGAATGGATTTTTCAAAAAGTGTGAAACACCCCTCAAATGAATTTGAATATAGATCTTTGAAAATGAGTTTGGGGCCGATCGGATGGTAAACAAAAAACTTTCATACAACCGTTTTCCGCCAATTTACCACTGTTGCGGGTGGAATTTTCCAAATCGCTGAAATACGTACTTTTTAAGTTCTTATGAAGAGCTTTAAAAATAAGTTTGAAGCAAATCGGACACAACTTAAAACGCCGCCCAAAAAATCTTTAAATCGCATTCCCCCCGAAGAAGTTTGAATTCTGCGAAAAGTGAGAAACACGTCTCAAATGATTTTTCATATGGATCACTGGAAATGAATTTGAGCGCGAAACGTCACCCACCAAATCTTTGACCTCCATTTCCACCAAGGAGGGATGGGTTTTCCGAAAAGTGCGAAACACCCCTCAAATGAATTTGAACAAAGATCTTTGCTATTTTCGCTTCGCTATTTTTCCACACTTGCGAGTGGAATTTCCCGAAACCCCGTCTTAACGTGCACCTACATCACATAAGGTAACTACAGTGAAAATTTCAGCTTCCTAGCTCTTACGGTTTGGGCTGTGCGCTGATCACCAATCAGTCAGTCAGTCAGGACAAACAGTTTTATATATAGAGATATAGCAGCTATATTATAGTATACTACATCATATATCTGTATATCGCAGTTATATTATAGTATATATATCTGTATATATTAGCTCTATTATAGTATAGTATACTATATCATATATCTGTCTTTGAAACAATAGGTGGGTAATAAAACTTTCGTTTTATGGCTCTTAATAAAGAGTTTTCCAAAAATCCAAGAACACTAGGTCTTAGCTTCCTTAAGGGCTAAGAGCTGTTAAAAGAAAGTCGTCGAAGACGTCTTGAATTAAGTTTTAGAGCGTCTCTTTTTAGTGTTTGTCTTCCAGCGTTGTCTTATTTTAGACATAAGCATTGATTTGTTCTAACATGTATTATACTTATATCATAAAGCACGACATACCTGAGGACATGTCCTTGAGTATGTCATCGAGCAAGACAAAATTGCTGGCCTAAAAAATCCTTTGAGTTTTGATAACTATATACTTTTATTTACTCACTACTGTCAAAGAATAACATTATTTATCACATAGGTATGCATCAAGTTGTATATATATGTATCCAATTTAGGATGTCCTAGAATATAAAATCCTCATCGCAGACAAGCTCCATATTGCTCAGACTGCGCTCGAAGCACTTAATGCGCTGATACCACTGCGGATCCTGGGAGTTGATCGACTCGGGCCGCCCCATGTTGTGCCTGTAGAGATATTCGGCATGTCCCTGGCCGCTGATGCCATTAACGGTACAGGCCACAAACTGATTGTACACCTTGGACTCCCAGTCGCCGCCCACATAGCGTACAGCGCTGTGTTCCACACGTATTTGGACCAGATAGGCGCGCTCCGCGGTATGCACTATGAAATTCTGATGCTGGGGCGGCGTGCCCTTCTCCCCGTAGGAGTACAGCTCAAAATTGCTAGCGGTGATCGGCTGATAGACTCCTTGGGGCGTGCACACATAGCCCACCTTGAGCGAGGATAGAAAGAAGGAGGGCTGGCTAAGATTGCCAACGACCATGCTGCTGCCATCGTCTAGCAGCAGGGCAAAGTAGACATAGCGATTGATGGAGCTGAGGCAGCGTTCAGTGCCAAAGCTATGATCCCGAAAGCCGCGCAGCTCCAGCTGCAGCCGGCTCTGGCCGAGCACAATGCTGCCGGAAAGCTGGCCATTCTGCTCATAGTGCGTACGCTTCTCCACAATGTGACCGACGCTCTTGAGCATGCCGTAGAAGCTATCGTTCCAGGCCTCGCGCGCTATAGAGTCGGCAATCAGCGATGAGCTAAGATCCCGATTGTAGTTAAAATGTTCCGCCGTGCTTGTGAATTTCATATCCAGCTGCACATCCACCAGCTGCTCATCGTTCGTCTCCGGCTCGTTGATCATGGAGCGTCGCAGCTGTCCCACATATTCGAGTCGCCAGAAGCGCATCGATTCCTCCGGATAGAGATGGAAGCCGGCACCACGAAATTCGGTGCTCTCCTCGTTGCCATCGCTGGTAAAGTGCACCATGTCCGGCAGCTTGGGCAGCGAGTACAAATGGCCATCGGGCAGCCATAGATATAGGGCCGCCTTCAGCACGCCGCGTCTGCGACGCTCCAGCGACACCATCAGCTTCTGGCCAGCTGCATTGGCAGCCATAAAGCTAACCACATCATAGCTTTTCGGATCGTTGGTCAGCGGCTGCGGACGGTCCAGCGTGGCCAGATGCGCCGCCGAGCTGAGCTGCTCCTCGTTGCGTTTGTAGATGCGATAGCGCAGCTGGCGCAGCACAAGCAACGCAATGCCATACTTGATCCTGTAGAATATGCCCTTGCACGGATATTTGCCAAAGATTAGCGCCGACTTGCGGCTGAGCAGCAGCAGCGACAGGCCAAGCAGCACCGCCAATAAGCCAAGCAGGGGCAGCACCACCATTAAGCCAAGGCTAAGTAGCGCCGCCATCAAGCCAAGGCCAAGACAGATTATCAGGAGCATGTTGCTCGCACTCGACTAGCGTTTACGTGACTGAGCTGTTTCAGGCGACGGCAGGCCAATGCATTCAAAAATTGTCGGCGATAAGCAGTCAACTTCCCCCCACAACTCCCTTCAGCCTGTGCACGCAATCAAGCCACTTGGTCAGGGCTCTTATCAAAATGGGCCTTATCAGTCGGCCACATTCAGGCAACCTTTCCCTTACTATGCCAGCAAAACTGTTAGCCATTGAAACCGATCGATTGCTCAATTAATGCTGCATTTGCTTTTGGCCATAAATCAGTTAACAATTTGTTTGTTTAATTTATGTGTGTATCATAAACCCAACCCGTCCGTCGTCAACGATAAACACTAAATTCTTTTCCCGCTTCTTTTGTCAGCGCAGCCAGAGACCTAGGCACAGTTATGCTATTCTTGTATACACACATATTATTGTTGTATATCAACGAGCTTTTGCCATGGGCAGCAACAATATCCTTGCTTATACTCGTTCACAATTTGAAATGAGTATATTCGTTCTGCCCGTCTCTCTGCTTCAGCGCGTTTCTACGTCGCAATTAACGTTAGAGACTTAAAATTTGGAATATATATAGTCGTGTATGTACTCGTGTCAGATAATGTCCAGATTATATGGTGCCGTCCAATAGGGAGTGTCAGAGGTACAATAACTCAATTTAGAACGCAGGCTACTGATATGGTGCTTTAAAGATCGATCCAAACAAATTTGTAAAAGCACAAGGAACTTTAAGGAACTTTAAACTTTACGCTCTATACATGTGCATATTGTATGATTGTATTCGAATAAATTTAAATTAATTTCTAATATTAAATCAAAAATTCGATAGACTTGTTTCGCATTTATTCACTACTCCTTGAAGTATACACATGAATAGATGCGTGCATGGATTGCGTTTTCCAGCACTGCCAATAATTATTATTAACCGTTAAGAGCGTTGCCAACAGCAAAGCCGTATGCGATTTGCGACTGCGCCAAAACTTTTGCAGTTTTTCGAGCTGCTGTTGCCTGCGCTCGTCTCTCTTCGACTGGCAAAACAACCAAGCTAAATCAATAAAAACATAAAATTAGTGTGTAAGGGGCATGCAACAGCAACAGCAACAGCAACAACAACAACAACAATTGGCACAACAGCGTTTGGCGTGAAGCACAATTTAGAAGCAGGAAGCGCGGAGCTCAAAGCAGCAAAAGTGTCCCGTAGTGTCCTTGCTTCCCGTTACAGATTCGCAACATTTACAGTTACACACAAAAAACGAGAGCAAAGGGCAAAGGAAGAAAACGGAAAACCAAAAACAACAACAACAGCAAAGAAAGTTATCTGAAAGTAAGTTACAAAAGCAAAAGAACGAAATTAAAATGTACAAAACAATACGGCACGGCGAGAACAGTTTGCAATATACAATTTTGCCGCAAAACGACGATTTTCGGATTGAGGGCAAACTGACAAACGCCAGCTGCTTGGCAGCAACTACTTCCGCATCCACGTCGAATACGTCCGCCACGTCCTGCACGTCCGGGTCGGGCGCCAAGCGCAGCTCGTCGGCGGCGCCGCGCAGACGTCGCACATTCTTTGCATATCTGGGCCTGATCTTTGTCTGCACGGTCATCATTGGCGCCGTGCTAATACCGTTTCTGGTGTCCGCCGAGTGCTTGCCCAGTCCCGCGGAATGGTTCCTCAAGACGAAGGCGGCGTTCACGCACAGCGCCAGCGGCGGCGAGAGGCAGCTGCCACATATTGCTGCCGGAAAAGGAGCAACAGCTGCGGCTCCAGCTCCGCCAGTGGCTGCCATGTTGGGCCAGAATGTGGGCAAAACTGTGCAGATTGTCAATCACAATGGCATTGAGCAGTTCGTATTGAAGCTTGACAAAACTCAGCCAGCAACAACAACAACAACAACAACCACAACAACGGCAGCAACAACAACAACAACAACTCCTAGCATGCAGACAACTGAACAACAGCTTCCGGCCAGCACCGTACGCTCAGCCTTGCCAGCAACATATTCAACACTGGCAACAGTTGCCACCAGCACCGCCGCCGTTGCCGCCGCCGCCGCCGCCGTCCCACCGCTTAGCAATCGCCTGGCCGCAACAATAACCACGCGCATTATACAAGTACCGCTGCTCAAGTCGGCAGCCAAGAAGCCCATCATGCCGCCCGTGCTGGCCAAGACGCAGAGCACACAGCTGCAGCAGCAGCTGCAGCAGCAACAGCAGCAGCAGCAGCAGACACAACAACAACAATCTCAAGAGGAAGAACAACAACAGAACAGAAGCAACATCGCTTGGATGAACACACGCTGGGCCTACATAGATCCATCCACATACGTCCAGTGGTCGGTAAGTATCCAGCCTGTGTGTGGTTGGCACCTGTGGCCTCGGCCTGACACCCACTCCTCACTCACTTTCATTCGCAGGGCTACAAGGCTGAGGATAGCGTGCTGCTGCCCGCATTACTTGGATTTGCACTTATTGGCATGATTTTAATTATAACGGTCTGCCTGGTGGCACGCAACAAGCGCACCATTGTGTCCTCTGTGCGCAAGCGGAATCGTAACGTGAGTACAAATGCATTTAATTACCATTAAATGCTTTTAAAATTCGACACAATTGACCAATATTTGTAATCCATCCCTCAGACTACACACTTTGTTAGGGGGAGCTCTAATCCCAGGCTACCTGTTCGCAGGCTATAATTGCTTAGTCAAAGGCCATTAAAGGCAGTAGTTTTTTTAAATAATGTCGATTTGATAGATTAAAACCAATGTGGTCTCTGTCTCTTCTTAAAGTTTAGTTCGCAAGCCTGGTTCGAGCCGAGAATAAACCATTTTATTATAAAATAAATTTGTTACATCTCCAGGCTGGCCTTTATCGACATTAGTCAATTTTTCATTTTCAGAAAACATAAAACTTAGATTTTAAATATAAAATATTTCATCTTGAACCATATAGTCGTAACAAATTTATTAAATTACGTTAAAAATGACATGATCTTAGAAAAATTATTGAAAAGAAGCCCGATTTGGTCACGTTGTGGGCATGGAAAATCGAGCATATGTTTTGGACAATCATAAACATCCATTTTAATTATTATTAACGTTAGACTTGCTACAACTTTAACATTAACACAACGAAATAAATTTCCTCAAAGGTTAAATAATGAATAAAAAATACGCCCAACTGCTGTCTTAAGTAATAGTAATTAACTCATAATTGTCGTTAAGGATATAGATACAATTTTAGTATCAATTTCCCTGTTAAATATAGCATTAGTTTATCAATACCCTACGTGCGCGTTTAGTGAATTAAAATATATTTGAATTTCAACCGTTATGTTCGAGTAGTGCAATGAGCGCGTATTAATGTGAATGGCAAAAATGAAAGAGAACATTCGGTTAGACATTTGTCTTCTCTGCGCATGACGTCAACATGAAAGCGTGAATAGGTTGTGCTAACAAAAATGTGTATTTCAAGTTACATAGATGGCGTATCCTAGCATAAGCCTTGCCGTACATCCGAGTATGTGACATCACGCGTGTAACGTCGCCGTGGCCGACCTTTTTTTTCGTGCTTGTTGGCAGAGTTGCAAAATCGGTTATGACGCCTTTTGTGTCTATCGATAAGCCAAACAGACAACGAATTCCACGTCACTGTCGGCTGGCACACGAAGCAAACAAAAATCAAAAACGGACATCGTGGCCAAACATCGTGACATCGACGATTGGGTGCCCCAACATAATATTGTGGCGCTCTGGGCGTGTGGAAGCGAGAGAGCATATCATTAGCCGGCAATACGTAAGCGCTACGCTCTGTGTGCGCAAGTGAGCAGGCAATAAATAACAACGTGAACAAGTGGTAGTGAGCAGAAACAACAACAACAATACGACGGATACACTATTGCCCGTTGGAGCCGAGAGTCGTTTGCGTGGCAGTTTTTTTTTCTGTGTTGCTGTTGTTGCTACCGCTGGCTGTATGTTTTGTTGTACTGCTGCGGCTGGTGGCAGCGCCGTTGTTGTTGCTTCTTGGCTCTGTTTGCCAGTAGGCCGCCTTGGCATTCACACACACAGCGTTTTCGGTGAAACGTAGCCACACATTCATTCAGTCAGTCAGTCAGTCAGTTAGTCAGTCACTCACTTACAGGTGAGCAGCAGCAGCAGAAGCAGCAGCAGCAGCAGCAGCAGCAGCTAAACTAAAAGCAGGCAGGCAGCAGAGGCGGCTGGACCACAGGCGCACTGGAATAAAAAAATAAATAAATTTAAATTAAATTAAAAAATAAAAGTGTTTAACAAGAATAACAAAAAGAAGAAGAAAGACAATCACTAGAAATACACAACTGGAAGACGCCTACGTCAGCAAATTGCAGCACAAATTCCAATCCTGTAAGCAACAACAATAACAACAACAAACTCGCTTGTCTAGTGAAAAGCAAAAAGAAATTTGCTTGCGTGTGGCGCTAGCAGCGCTGCCTCTCTCTTGTGTATGTGTGTGCCAACAGGGCAAATTTGTATTGTGTGTTTTGTTAGTGTGTGTGCATGTGTGTGCGTGTGCGTGTGTGTGTGCTGCTGTTGCATGGGCTGCACAGGCTACACAATTGGCATTTGCATGCACATGGCCATAATTCCGCGGCCGATGTCAGCTGCTGCTGACGTTGCAACAGCCACGCGCACACACCCGCACCGATAGCGTGTGTGCGAGAGAGACAGGGCGAGTGAACAAGCGAGAGAGAGGCAGTCCGTTGATTGCATTCACCGAACACTAATTCAACTTGCAACATTGCAGCAACTAGCCAGAAGAAACAACAACAACAACAACAAGAATAACTATGGCCATCAAACCGGGAATCGGCCGCAAGACGAGCAACAAAAATCCACCGATATTGAGCCATGAGTTTGTCATACAAAACCATGCGGACATCATCTCCTGTGTGGCAATGGTATTTGTTGTCGGACTGATGAACGAATCGACGGCATCGTTTGCCAGCGCCTTCATATCGCTGCACCACAATGTGAGTGGCGAGGAGGCTAGCCGGGAGCAGCCGTATGGCAAGCCGTACACGTATATGGCCGGCATTAAGGACTATTGTGCGATATTCTTTTATACGCTCACCTGCATCATTATGCACGCCATCATACAGGAGTTTGTGCTGGACAAGATTAGCAAGAAGCTGCACTTGTCGAAATTCAAGCTGGCACGTTTCAACGAATCCGGCCAGCTGGTCGCCTTCTATCTGCTCTCATTCGTTTGGGGCACGCAGGTGGCGCTGCGCGAGGGCTACCTGGGCCAAGTGGCCCAACTGTGGGAGGGCTATCCGGCGCATCCGATGAGTTTCCTGCACAAATTCTACTTTATCATCCAGCTGGCATACTATCTGCACATGCTGCCCGAACTCTATTTCCAAAAGGTGCGCGCCAAGGAGGAGCAACAGCCCAAGATCATACATTCCATAAGCGGATTCACGCTCATTGTATTGGCCTATACGCTCAGCTTCCAGCGTCTGGCGCTTGTGCTGCTCACGCTGCACTACTTCAGCGAGCTGCTCGCCCACATATTCCAGCTGATTGGCGTCTTTGATCGCGAGGAGCGTCTGGCACGTGCCAACATTGTGAACAATGTATGCTTTGTCCTGGTGCGCTTTGCCACCTCGGTGATTGGTGTGCTGACGCTCTACTATGGCATTGGCAGATCTGGCGGCAGCTATAAGGCGCGTGCGGTAATTGCCATGATTGGCCTGATCGCCCTGCAGGGCTATCTGGTGTACTCGTTTATCACCGAACAGTTGCGCGCCAAGCGGGAGGCGAAGCGTGAGGCTAAGCTGCTGGCGGCGCAGACCAAGAAGGCGAAGGCCCCCAACAAGGACAAGGTGAAGCGCAAGAAGGAGAGCGATCTGCCCGAGGCCGACCAGGCGTCGCCCAGTCCCGTCAAGCAGAAGCTCAAGTGAATCCAGCTATGCACAGCTGCAGCTGTGCAACAACAAAATCTTCCGCACACTTCCAGACGCTCAAGCAACAAACAACAACAACAAACACAAACGAACCGAACGGACTTTCAGCGAACTCCAGCATTTGCTACACTAGACAACACAACACATGAAACATTTTTATACTGTCGCGCTGCATTTACAATATTCTCTCAGAGCGGAAGCTATTTGTAAACCTAAATGTTTTGTTTCATTTTAAGTTTATTTTTTTTTTTAAAACATTATTATTACAAATTACAAATATTTTTTATTTGAAATAAACAAATTTTTTATTTTTATACATGAATGCGAAAAAGAAATCAAAATTATATGAACAAATGTGTTTTCCGTCTCTCTCTCTCTCTCTCTCTGTGTGTGTGTGCGTGTAAATGTAAATGAGAACTACAAAAGCAATGTAACATATATGTATGCATATGTATGTGCGCATTGCTTATATGTATGTATGTATGTGCATATGTTTGTGTGTACATATATCAAATACTTTTAATGTTAGTTTATCATTTTGATCGTGTGGTTTTATACGTCCTAATGAATGTAACGAAAAAAAAAGAAAACAAAAACAAATTGCTAAATATATTTTGTATAAGAAAAATAACAAAGATTACAACTTTTTTATCCAGGCTTGCGGGGTAGGGGTTGACATAAAACTTGAGTTTTATTACTCGAAACAATGAAACTCGGATTCTATTGAATACAACACTAAGATTTACTTAAGAACGCTTCTCTCTCCTTTTCTCATGCAGGATATTGAAGAGCAAGGCGCCGAAGATAATGCCACGCTGCTAACAACAACAAATCTGTCCGACGATGATTAATTTAAATGTATATTCCAAAACAAAAGCAGAAAGTAAAAACCAAAACTTCATCCGTACGTGTGCCCCTTTTTTTCGGTCGCTTATTCATGTCTTTTTGTTTTTCTTATTTTTATTTAATATTTGTATCTACATATTTTTATGATATATACATATATATATATACAAGAACATACAGGCATATTAAGATAACAAATTTTTGATCAAAACAAAAATTTAATTATTAAAGAAAAAGAAAAACAAAGGAAAGCTTGATACCAACACAAAAGTAAAGTTATATACAGCGTATTTTAATCAAATGTACCTTCTACAAATAAACAAGTATGTGCGCCATTTATGCAGCTTAAATTCTTAAGCAACAAATAGAATTTCCTTGAAATATATACACACATATATAGATATAAACTGTTTGAAATGGGCGCACATAGTTGTCTATTTGTATTTGGGCTATACCTAAGAGCATATTTAGTCTATTAAGTATTTAAAAAACTTTTCAAAAAAAAAACTGCTGTCCAAGCTAAGCTATGCATAAGAAACGCAGCTCGCATAATGTAATGCAAAGTTGACAAATTTATTGGCACTCAAGCAATTTTCATTGTTATGTTTCCAAAGTAAACAAAAACCCGAACAAAAATCCAAAAAAAAAAAAAAAAACCTAGAAGACTGTTTCTTGAAAACACATATTAAGGATTCTTTAAATAAGCTGTTACCATATATCATATTATTATTTTTTATTTTTTGCACTGAACTCTCCGTTTTGAAATAATATTTTTTCATTTATGCTCGATTGTATGTGTGTGCGTGTATGCCTGTTTACATAAACAATTTGCATACACTTATTAACTTATACAAATATTTATATGTATACATAATTTTTAGCACAAATATTAAACGATCTTTAAGCTTAAAATGCATTTAAGATGGCAAATTTTGAGTGTTGCAAAAAAAAAACAAACTTATCAAAAACCTTTGTCACGCACATTTCGGAAAGGGTGGTGGTTGCTAGAGGGTGGGGCAGGGGTAGGGGCATGAGATGGACGTAATTCTGTAATCATTAAGTCGCAGTCTATATAACTCTCGAGCACAAATATATTGCAGCAAATGTTTTTGAAACATAAGTATTAAGTTTTCTTCTCGGATCGGAGCAGAAATTAGATGTGGGAAAATTAGAAATGGGTTAGCTTCTAGATCATAGTTCGATTGATAAGAAAAGTAATACTATGTACACTGTATACACTGTATACACTATATATATTTATGAATATGTATGTATAACTGTATAACTTATATGTCGATCTATATAACTGTGTATAACTATGTAAAAATCATTGAGAGCTGTAATTTGAGATGATCTGTATTTTTGTAAGCATAATATTTAACAAAAACAAAAGAAAAACCTGTGTGCTATAAGGCGAGCTGGGCGTGGCATGGCGCACTCACAATTGATTTGCTCATTATACCATGTACTATATACATATATATATATATTTGTGTGGTACATATAAAGAGTATTTGCTATAATATAGGACAATTCCACGACGGCTTGCATTTACATATATACACAAGCACGCATGCATAGGTGCATATGTGCATTATCCAATAAATCAAATCAAAGATTCCAAAATGGATAATATATCCTTCATATATCACTGTAATTGTTATCAATAATTTGCAAAGCTAAACAATTAAGTCCATATATACCAGAGAACTACGCAAACATTATATACATACACACACAATTATAAATATACACACATACATATACAAAAAATATATTAAACAAAAAAAAAAAGAAACACAAACACTATATTGAATGTTTTTGCTTGTTAAAGTGAATAAAATAATAAAGAACAAACTAACTGCATAAAGTATAAAGATTTCATTACGAATTTCAAAGAGTTACATACGTGTGTATATCTATATATATATATATATAAATATAGCTACAAACTTTGTTTTTCTTTCAGCTTAAAAACTAGAATTACTGACGAGCTTAATCTATCGCTTAAGATTTCTGTTCCTGCTGCGCCCGCTGCTGTTTGTCGCGTTTGTTTTGCTGCGCCGTCAAATGATCTTGAACGAAACTCTGAAAATTTTGCTCCTCTGTTGTATTCTTGGCATCGGCTTCTGACTCCTCTGTATCTGCATCCATTTGTACCGGCACCAGACTGGGCGCCATGAGGAATACACTGTTGTCCGCATTGGTTGTAGGATCCTGCAAATAGGTATGTACAAGTAATTAGGTAGGTCTTTCTTATATTATTTATAACTAACGCTCAGATTTAGGCCCATGGGCACTGCTGTGCCCGCCCCATCGACGACTGTCGCTGGGAATGCAATGGCCTGTTGGTCGGCCAGGCGCTGTAGACGCATCTTCTCATACACCGGCTTGTAATCGCGCTCGTATTCGTTAACACAGTCGAGGATGTGCTTTATCAAGGTGGCAAAGCCAATGCCCGTTTTGGCTGAGACACCGCATGAGATTAGATTCTCGTAAAATGTGTCAAGTGTAAGCGACATAGTGCGCGTCAGATTGTTGACGTAGCTGTGCTCCTGTTCCAGTGCATCCTGGAACACCTCGAAGTCGGTCATCCATTCCTGCACAAAGCTGCAGTCCTTCAGGTCAATCTGTTTCAACGACAACATTATTAGCCTTTTAAGAATCTGTTTTACTCATTTCTATTGCACTCACCTTGTTGAGCGCTATCAGAAAGGGCAGCCGCGTCTTGTACAATATGGAACAGGCGTACAGCATATTCGACATGAATGTGGTGGGGCAACTGGAGCGCACAACATCCATAACATAGACAACTATTGTGGGAAACATGGTGGCCAGGCCCTCAGTGATAATGCTGCCCGATGCCGACCAGGTGAACACCTCAATTTGACCGGGCGTATCGATGATGCACCATTTGTGGCCACGCTCGCCGGCGCGACGCACTAGCTCCGCAAATTTGGGCATCTTGGTGGTGAACATGTTCAGCGCAGTCACAATGCCGCCATTGGGGCCCAGCTGATATTGTTTCATCACCTCTCTGTAGTTCACCGTGTCGCGTATGTCAATATGCGCTGCATAAGGAACTTCACGGCATGCGGGATCGAGGTTGACCACATACGGATTAAACTGCGCCTGGGCGTGCTGGATGAGACTGCGCGTAAACGTTGTCTTGCCGGAACCGGCCATGCCAAGCACAATAATGCAAACGGGCGAGTCCCGTATGCCCTCGCTGAGTGTCAGCGCCTCCAGATTGATGTCATCAATGCCAGGATTAGCATTGCCACGACTGGTGCTGCCATTGCTGCTGCTGCTGGATGGTTTCGTAGTCATTCTTACTGCAGCTTGCGGCAAAACAAAGTTGCACGTTTAAGAATTTGTAAACATTCACACTGCGACGTAATTTTGCAAAGGCTGGCAGCACTGCCATGTATCATTTTCGTCGATGTGGTGGCTCAGAGCAACCAGTTGACAATAGATAACGGACCATTAAGTGCTGATGCACATGCGCTTTTTAACACGAAAGGCTTCATTAAAAGTGTGCTCGCCGAAAATATATAACTGAGTAGCTACCTGACAATAGATGGTGACACATTCTTCACATGCGCACAAATCTCACATAAACTTTTTTAAGATATCTGGCATTTAAAATTCAAGTAATGACAACAGATGGCGGCACACAAACCAGGTCAATTTTAAAAAAAAAAGTGGGCATTAAAAGTTTTTACGCCAAAAATATAATATGTTTTATAACATCGGCTTTACTGCAAAAATTAGTTGCAGTGCTGCCAATGGACAATAGATGGCGGCACAATGCTTGGCAAGCGCATGCGCTCTATACTCATCAATATTTTCTAAATGTCTGGCACTTTAAACGTAAATATGGACTATAGATGGCGGCGCACAGCTTTTTCAAGAAAAGTCAGCTTGCGCGAGAATTTAAATTTAATTTATTTAGATAAATAATATTAATTTTAAGATCAGCTGTTACTACAGAAATTATCTAGTTGCTTTTGCCATTCACACTAAGACGTCCATTGTTTCAACTATGTGGCAGCCTCTCTTTGCTTTTTTCCGCGATTATAGAAGCACGTTTCGCAATTAGGCTGCAGAAAAAATATCAAATTTTCACGCGCTAGCTCTATGAACCCGAGCGGCGCAATCGCAAGTCGCAGCACAGGCTGTGGCAGGCGCTACATGCATTGTGCAACTATTCGCTGCCACTCCCCAGCGGTCCCGAGTGTGCCGATCATGAGCTGTGGCAGCACCGGGTGCTGGAGAGTCAAGGAACGCTGCCAATGGCTGCCACTGTAACACAGGAGCAGGTTCAACAGGTAGTCAAAGTGGTGCAAAAGAAACACTAAGAACCGCATTATATGCACATGGCCAAGTCACTGCACAGCTTCGGCAAGGCGCAGCGGGAGGCACAGTCTGCCGACAGCTCCCGTGTGGGTTTGTTCAAGTGCTGCTGCGCTCACTTGGCCAAAAGGTAAGCCAGTGCATCCATCAATTTTATATGGCATTAATGCCAGGATTAGCATCCCCACGACTGATACCGCAATTGCTGCTACTGGGTAGGGATCCGTAGTCATTCTTACTACAGCGTGCGCCAAAGCAAAGTTGCACGTTTAAGAATATTCGCATTGGTAAAGGCTGGCCACTCTGCCATGTACCGTTTGAAGCGATGTAGTAGCTCAGGGCTACGCATTATGCAAGTCATGTCAACAGATGGAGGCACAAAAACATAGTCAGTTTTTAAAACAATAAATGTGCACGCTGAAAGAATAATATGTGCAAAACACCGGCCTCATTGCACAAATTAGTTGGTTGCAGTGTGGCCATCTGACAAAAACATGACATGCGCATGCGCGCAATACTCCCCAATCTTTTTCAATGTATCGACAATAGATGGCAGCACACAAACCTAGTCAGCTAAAATATGCATGCAGAACAATAATATGACATCAGCTGTTACTGCAAAAATCATCAAGTTGCCTTTGCCATTCACACTTAGGCGCAAATTTTGTTCAACTAGGTGGCATCCTCTATTTGCATCATTTTGGCGGGGTTATGGAAGCACGTTTAGAAATAAAGCTGCTGGAACCAAATCCACTGTTTACGCGCTGGCTGGAACGCTGGCTCCACGAGGCCGAGCGTCGTAATCGCAAGTCCCAGCACAAGGTGCGGCAGGCGCTGGAGGCGTTGCGCAACTACCCGCTGCCACTCTACAGCGGGCGCGAGTGCGCCGTTCTGCGTGGATTTGGCTCAACGCTCTGTCAGCTTATCGATGATGAGCTGCGGCAGCACCAGATGCTGGCAGGCAAAGGAACGCTGCCAATGGCTGCCACTGCAACACAGTACCAGGATCAGGTTCAACAGGTGGTTAAAGTGGTGCAAAAGAAACAACAAAAACAGCAGCAACTGCTGAAGCAGCCCAAGAAATTGACAAAAAAAGCACAACTGGAGCTGGCAGCAGCTGAAGAACGGGAGCGCATCGTCCACATGAGCGCGGGCAGCTATCGCATTGTGCTGCTCGTCGACACGCAAGAGACAAGCGGCAAAAACAAGCGCATATTAGACCAAACGCGCAGCTATCTGCAGACTCTGAACGTGGAGCACGAAGTGCGCCGCCTAACCGTCGGCGACTTCCTGTGGATAGCACGCGATGCCGCCGGCAATGAGCTGGTGCTGCCCTTCATCGTGGAGCGCAAGCGCATGGACGATTTGGCCAGCAGCATACGCGATGGCCGATTTCACGAGCAGAAGCATCGCTTGGGCCAGTGCGGTCTGCCGCACATTATCTACCTGATCGAGGACTATGGCGACAATGAGCAGCTCGGTCTGCCGCTAGACTCCTTGCAGCAGGCGCTGACCAACGCGCGCGTCCAGTCCGTAAACATCCAAGTTGTACGTTCTGACAATCACTATCGCTCCATGTGCTATCTGAGAGGCGTGAGTAGCGCCTTGGAGCAGCTCTATGTGCACGCAGCCAAGTCGCTGCACAGCGTCGACAAGACGCAGCTGGAGGCACAGTCTGCCGACAGCTCCAGGAGCAAAAGTCATGTGGGTTTGCTCAAGTTTCGTGCCCTCTATGAGGATTCTGCGCGCAATGCGCAGCTAACGGTGCGCGAGGTGTTTGTGCAGCAGCTGCTCCAGCTGCACTCTCTCTCCCTCGATCGTGCCTTAGCAATTGTGGAGCGCTATGCTACGCCGCGCCAGCTGCTGGATGCCTACGGGAAGTGCCAAAACGAGGCCGAGGCACGTCTACTGCTGGCCGGTCTGTGCTGTGGTCCGCTACAGCGTCCATTGGGTAAAAAGGTGAGCCAGTGTATCCATCAGTTTTATATGAGCGAATTTTAGGGATTAGGTTTAGTAATTGTATTTAGTAGGTATTAGTTAATTGGACATATCTAAAGTTATATACACATATTTATACATTAAGATTTATGACTTGGACTAGCTTTGAAGGGAGAACAAAAATTACGAGTTGCCATAGTCGATCGATCGATCCAATCAGTTTAGATATTGCGAAAATGCCGTATGGCCAGATCCACGGGCAAATCGAAATCAAACTTGGACAGCGCATCAATAGAGCGCAGCGAGTCGCGGAATCCCGTGCATGCCACATAGCTATTCGACGTATAGTATGTATCAATAAGCTCGTTGCAGCTGAGTATCAGATTGAGCCACTCCACCAGAAGATGTGCGCTGCGAACAAGAAACATAGATGTGAATATATTTTTATATAAGTTAAACAAAAATAAGTTAAATGCTTAAGCAAGAGGGGTTCTAGGCGGGAGTGTCCGTCTGTTCCAAATTGCCTTACTTATCGATCTCCTTAAAATTTGGTTTATTTTCTATTTATTGAAACACACTTGATCTATTTTGATCTATATATTGCCTCTACAATATATCAATATATATCTATTCTGTACTATAAGCTTCAAAAGCGTTCGCTCTTGATCGATATTTATCGATTCGGAATAATTTGTTTATCATATGGCATGCGGGAGCCCAGACTAGAATCTAATCGGGAATATAAGCTTCATGGAGCGGAAGGTGCTGCATTCTGTCTGCAACTGTGCACAACTGCAATATACCCCGATTGCAAAGTCTAGAGGGTATTCAAATGTAAGATTGCGCACTCACTTAAGTCCGGCACAGATTAATGCTTTGAAATGGGCGTTGTAGCTGCGTTTGTAGGGCCGATGCATGGCCAGGATCATGCCAATGGCGCTCAGCAGGCTCTGCTTGGCCGTTACCACTTGTGCATCCACAATATCCAATTGGAAGCTTTGGGATAGCTTTCGGGCCGGAGTATTGTTGTACTCCTCGCCATGCTTTAGATTATAGTACTCGAGTATCAGCTCCCAGGCGTGCATGTCACGACCTATGCCAAGAAATTGCATCTCTGGCGCCGCGCCCGCCGCCACACGCTGTGCGCCCGGCTGCAGGCAGCGCATGAAGGGCACCATCAGGCTGGTGGCCGCCGATTCGGCCGGTATGCGCAGTCCGTGCTGGATGAGCTGCTGCAATGTGCGCGCAAAGTTCTTGCGCACCACGCTGGTCAGTTCGCGTCCGATGGTGGCTATGGAATCGCCGCGCATATGCACAATGCGTCGGCCCATAGACTTGTCCTTGTCCCAGTCATACCGATCGTAAATATCCTCATCCGAGTCAGATGAGGCGGCAGCCGCTGCGCTTGCCGCATAAGGCGCCAGCTCGTGGCCGGCGGCGTTGGCAACTGCACGCCTGCATCGCGGCGGCAAAGTGGTTAATGCCCCATTTTGTGCATTAATCGAACCGCTTGCATTGTTGGCATTGGTCGCCGCCAGCTGCTGTTGCTGGCGCAGCGCACGCTTGATATTGGCCAACTTCTGGCGATCGCAGCTTAGTGTGGCGGCCAATGCGGCTACCTCCTGGATGTCCACCTCCAGCTGTGCGCGCAGATCCCTAAAAAACAAATATCTATTAGAAAGTTCATTGATTCGATTTGTTTCTCTGTTTTTTTTTTTTTCATCATAGAATATTGTCAGTTAAATTTGATTTCAATAGCTTATCGATCTGTGCTGCCAGCTTGTCGTTGAGCGATATTGCCAGCTTTTGCAACATGGCGTTGCCACAGTCGAACGATAAATTCTAGTATATTACAATTAATCGATTAGGCATTTTCGGCGACGTTGCCACCGTGGCATGCAACAGTAACGCATTTTCGAATGATCTCGCAACTGTTCCAATTCCCATTATATATGTATTACAATATAATTGCCCATTATTGGATAGGTACTCACCCCCAGTGGTTGCCCTTGTGCGTTTTCTTCAGCGAGTTCTGCTGAAAGTGCGCTTGTCGCTTGGCGAAATGGGTTGTGGCAAACATTTGCATCAGCAGCGATGCCTTGTCAAGCAGTCCGTGCGCCTTGCTGTGCAGGCTTTCGCGTCGAGGTTCATGCTCCGTGCCGGATGCTCCGGCTGCTGCAGTCATGCGGCTGCTGCTGTTGGCTGCCGCTGCTGTTGCTGCGGATGTGGTCGCCATCACGGGCAGCTGGGCGGGGATCTGGCGGGCTGTCTGCTTGGCCGCATAGCTATTGTAGGCACCACTAAGTAGCTTTAGCTTGTCGCTGGCGCTGGTGGTGCCGCTGCCGCCGGCGGTGTCGCACTGCAGAAAGGCAATGAAACGCTCCAGATCGGTGATTTGCGTTTTGAGCTGTGCCACCAGCTGTTCCTTCATTTTGAGCGGGCCCACAAACTCGCCAATGGCATTGTCCACCTGATGGCGCAGCTGTTCGGTGCTTAGTGCGGGCAGCTGATGCTGCTCCACCTGCAAATTGAGCTTGGTGCGCAGCTCGTCCAGTATGAACTTTTGCTTCTCGAGCAGCACATGCTGCGGCAATACGCCCGGCGCACCAGAATCATACGCCAATTGCTCCAGCTCCGTTAGCTGTGACTTTAGCTGCTCGATCAGCTGGCCATCGGGTGGTGCCGTCTTCCCCTGCATTTCATCAGTGCCATTGTCGTTATTGGGCTGCGCCACCTCCGGTATGCCCTGAAAGGCGAAATCCTCTAGATCACGCAACAATTGATCTCGCTCATCTGTGGGCGCCTCAACAATTTGTCGCACGCGCAGCTGGACGTGCGCAAACTGTGAGGTCAATGCCAACAGTGAGCTGGTTAGCAGCTCCTGCTCCTCCTCAATGCTGCGCAAACGTGCCAATTCGCTGGCATTATCCGCGCCAGCTGTGACCACTGTCGCCATCGGCGGCGGCGGCGGCTTGTCCAGTGTCTGGCATCCAAGCAACTGTGGCTCATCCAGCTCGGCACAGTCGCCGCCACTCGTCATCAGCTCTGAGCTGGCGGTGTTGGCATCATCATAGTTGGCGCCCAATGGTGACCAGCGTTCGCTCAATGGCTGCGCCTCATCCTCGGCGTCCGCCTCCGGATCTGTTTCTGGATATGCTTGACTCTCAACGATTGCTTCCTTCACATTGACAACGACAATTGTTGATGCTGTTGTTGTTGTTGTTGTTGTTTGTTGCACATTGTCACAGCTGTTGCCACTGGCACTGCTGCTGCTGCTGCTGGTGCTGGTGCTGGTGCTCGCTGGCTGCTGACCTTCGGCCAGCGTGTCATTCATTTCCATATGTGTGCCACTTGCCACACTTTCACCACCCAACTGCAACTTTCGCCTCAAGATTCAATTGCGAAAAATCAATCGGTCGCTACTTCAATTCCAACAGCTGTGCAATCCTCACGCATATATGTATGTGGGCGGGTGTGGGTGGGTCTCTCGAGTGCTCAGTTATGGCCACAATATAACCAGGCGAACCAGACTGTTGGGTATTGCAGTCACGATGCGCACGCTGCGACTGCTTTTGACGCACTGACAATTTTCACACCAACATTTTCCATGGCAGAGCTTTTATCAATGGGGTTGCTTTCAGCTTTAAGCTCGACACTTTTAGGGGTTGCAAGGTGCACGTCATGTCAAAAGCTCGCCACATTTCGCTACCTTCTGGCTATCAAGCTTTTATAACACAAAACTTTGCCCACGGGTTGATTGTCTACCATCAGCTGGGCTAGTTAGTTAAAAATAGACGCTAGCTTTAAGTGTTAACTGAACTTACCCTGCCGAAAGTTTGACAATTACTAGAATCCGAACTTGCAAATTGTCGAAGCTTAGCCAAAGCTGGCTATGTGTACTCTTCTTGCTCAAGATATCAGTGCTGCTCCAACAGTGCTTCTTTGTACTGGACTTTGTTGAAACTAAGGTAAGGTTGTAAGCAAATTGTTCAAAAATCAACTTCAATTCGAGAATTGCGGAACAAATTAACAAATCAACAAACTAATAAATTGCAGCAAATTTGAAAGAACAAACATGAAATTATAAAAAATAATGTGGCACATTTTGAAAAAATCTTTGAAATTAAAACTTGAATCAAATGCCACAGTAAAAAAAAAGAACATTAATATTTCAAACAAATATTTCAAATTGTGAAAGTTGTGAAAAAAATTAACTATATAATTCAAATTTCGTTTATCTACTAGAAAAAATATTAAATAATGCAGTAAGGTGTAACCGACTGCGCAATACTCTATTCACATTGTAATTGTAAGTGTTTAAATGCATTTATTTATTATTGTAACTTGTGGAGGTGGCCATAAAAACTTAGCTTCATCTTAAGAGAAGCTCCTCAGTTAACTGCTTGCTAGTAATCTGGCTTTAGAACGTGGTATGTATGTATCAGTTGTGAGGCGTTAAAATTCGCAACAAGTTCAAGCTTCGAAAGAGTGACAAAGTGTTTCACAAAAAAGTCAGCTGTTGAGCCGGAAGGTTCTTAAATTAGCTATGTTTATTATATATATACAATAACCAGTCTATTATTGGGCTTAGATCAGTTAAGGCAAGTGTCATAATTGTCATAACAATAGTTATAGCTATTTACCTGTATCATATTTTCTACTCAAAAAGGAACCATACATTTATTGAGCTCCCTGAGCTCACTTCAATATGGTGCCCCGCTCCGAAAACTTGTTGAATAATGCTTAGTATATCGAGCATTCAGAAGCACTGTTGGAGCAGCTCTAATATCTTTTAAAAGGCAAATTGAATTTCGTTTCTTACTCTGTTTTGTAATTTAGACACGTGCAGTGAACATTTTTCTAAAAGTTTAGAATGTTGTGTCAGCAATTTAAAAGATTGCTTTGCATTTCAGCATTTTGCATAGAATTTCTGTACCATTAGCCTACTTATAAACCAGTTAGATTGTTTACGTCGGGAGTGTACGACACGAAGATGGAAAGTGCTTATGGTGTGTGCATTTGCCAAGGGCTGAGGTTAATTTCCCAAATTTGGTACTCATTGAAGATGTTTTTCGGAAAGGAAACTTAGCTTTAGCTGGTCTAAGTGGCAGCTCCAGAAGCTGAAGGCCTTATAGTCTGCGGATATCCTGAGCATATCGCCGATGGTTTTTCTTTTGCTTTGGATGGTTGAAAAGCTTAGAAACTGCTGATTAGAATCTCCTTTCACCATATTTTTCAAATATCCATTTAAAATTATGACTTAGCGAGCGCGAACAATTCACGCGACTGGGTGAAAATGGGGTTTAAAGATAGTACGTGTGAATTTAAACATTCTCATGGATAAAAAATGGGTGGAAAAGTAAATCGATGGAAAAAACATTGACTGAGCCGTGAAGTAACCGCTATTCTTAAATATTGACCAAATAAGTTTGAATACAATTACGTAAAACGCAACCGATTTTATGTTAAAACTTTATTTGTGCCCATGCATAAACTGACAGCTTTCAAGCTTGGTTCAGTGCACGGCTAAAGCTTTACGCGAGCTTTCCCAACTCTTAAATCCACCATAGCTTGGCGTAAGTGTATCCCAAAGTTGTCCCAAAGGCAAATTCCCGACATTGTTTACCCATTTTACCCAGGGAAATAATGACCTACACATTGCGAGTTTCTCCTTCAAAGAAAAAGAAGCTAAAAAAAACCCAATATTTGTGAGTGGCTGATAAGTGCAGACTTAAGATTAGGAAAGCCCAAACGCATGTACGTATGAGGTCTGAGATAACCAATGTGTCAGCTGTGTCTGGAGGCATTACATATATGATGGACATGGTCTGGTCGGCGGTTAGGTTAACTTAACTGAAATGCTTGTGTGCGGCTGCTCGTGATAAGCTGATAAGCTCGAGGCGAGTCCGAGTGGAGGGCAAACCATGACGGTCATTTTGGGGTCGTTTGGTCTGGAGACACGACGACCCACAAATTGAAGCCACACGTTTTAAATTTCGAATAGAATTCGCTTTTAGCATGTATTTTCGCTTAAAAATAGGAAAAAAACAAAATTATAATAATAATATTGAAAGTGTGACCTCGGGGCAACTGGGAATACTTGGTGTCACTTAACGTGGCGTAAAATTATGCTTGCCACCATCGACGGGCAGCAGGGCGCCGGTGGTGAAGCTGGCCTTCGAGCTGGCCAGAAACGCAACGGCCTCGGCCACTTCAAAGACATCGCCGACACGGCCCAATGGATGGGAATTGACGGCACGTTCATGCACCTTTTTATATTCCTCATCCACAATGCCAATGCGATTGTGTATATTGGTGACCACAAAACCGGGATTTACCGAATTCACACGCACACCCTGCGGCGCCAGCTCCAATGAGACAATTTTTGTAAATTGATCCAGTGCCGCCTTCGATATGCCATAGGTGAGTGAGTCAGCGAAGTGACAAATGCCAGCACAGCTGCTCACATTGACCACAGCGCCCTTCGTCTTGAGCAGATGCGGCACTGCCGCCTTGGTTAGCAGCACAATGGCGCGCAGATTCGTATTGAGTACCGTATCGAATTCATCAATGTCCAGATCGATGAGCGGACCGGTGCTCAGGATGCCAGCATTATTGACCAGGACATCGATGCGTCCGAATTGCTTCAGTGTCTGCTGTATAATCGCATCCGTATCCTTGGTAACATCAGCGACGACAGTCAGTGCCTGGATGCCCTTGTGCTGCTGCTGCAGTGTGGCGCGCGTTGCCTCCAAATTGGTCACGTTGCGTCCAACCAGCGACAGATGCGCTCTCTCACGGGCCATCACCTGTGCAATGGCCGCACCAATGCCACTGCTGGCGCCCGTCACAATCACCACCTTGTCGCTGAGGCTCATCTTCTCGACTGTGCCCGTCGTGCGCTGCCCTCCGCTCATTTATGGCTGGCTCAACTACTACCTGGCCCAGCTGTGCGCTCCCATTCCTCATGCTCGCTGATAAGATTAAACTGACGACGGCGAACGTGACGCAAATCGCTGCATTTTGTGCTCGAGTGCAACCTGTTGCGTTAATGCATGTCCCGGGTTCAGCTGATGCACACGGATTGACAGTTCTATTGGTGAACTGCTTCAATCTGTCCCAACCCCCTCCGGACCACTCAAAATACCCCTTCTATTTTTTTGCGCAAGTCAAGCGACAAGTTTTTAATTAAAAGTTTGTTGCGGCTTCTCTGAATTCAAACATTTGTGAAATCACGCTCCAAGCTGACGTCGTATCCGTCGCACATCTAGAAGCTCCTCCCGTTTCATGCAGCTGGAATCTTTGGTTTGGAGCTCGCCGCCAGACAGGGGCCTTCTAAATGCCAGCGGCCTGCTGCCAGCTCACATTAACTTAAAGCGTTTCCGTTGTCAGATAATTAACATTTCCATTTAGCTAGCGTTGCGCTGGCGAGCTGGCGGGCTGACGTCCACGAATCGGCTCATATATCACCCAAAGCAGCCAAGAGAGCGTGCTCAAGATATATGAGCAGGGAGAGAGAGCGAGAGCGAGAGCGAGAGAGAGAGACAGAGACAGACATAAAGGGAGAGAGAGTGAGACAGCTGATGACGATAACAATAGTTGCAAATTATCGCAGCACTTATTATGTGGAATGTAGAGCAAGCGGTTGGAATCTGTTGGATTTACTAAAAATATTCCATTCGTTAACTAGCCAACTACTTATCTGACCGAGACCGTTATAAATTGCAACAGTTGCTTTGAGCATCTCATAAATTTTAAAATTTTAAAAAGTTACGGAGTCATTAGGGCTACCGAGCAATGGGAATTGCGGGTTCAAATCCCACTCGAATGTAACAGTAGTGTATTTTGTTTGACTGACTGACTGATTGATTGTTGATCAATTACCTTATGTGAAATATTCCATCATCGAATTCAAATGCATTTTCCAAGGCTTTCATACTCAAAACTTTAGAGCTCCACATAAAAAATGATTAAAGACGTTTTTTAAAGATTTTTGAAACAGCTTTATGAAAATATATCGTTTTATTCTATTCTAAGGTCTGCATGAAAATATCTTGCATTTAATATTAACGGAAAATTCAGCTACCTGGCTGGCAAATTGTAGGGGAAAGTAGGGGAAAAACTGTTTAGAATTTACAGATGAAAGCTTGACCTGTGCAGACCAAATTTAATCAACTTGTTTGATAACTTCATTTTGAATAGAACTCTTCTATGCGATTCTCATAAACTAAATATTTACAGATTTTCATGCTTTGATTAGAAGTGTTAAAATAATATGCTATGCTGGCAATCAGAGAAACTGTTTTTTTGTTTCCATGTGTAAATCTATGTCTACATGCATGTATGTATGTAATATGCACATCTGCATGTATGTATGTATATATGTATGTAGGTATGTATGTATGTATGTATGTATGTATGTATGTATGTATGTATGTATGTATGTATGTATGTATGTATGTATGCATGTATGCATGTATGTATGTATGTATGTACGAATGTATGTATATTTTGTATATATATTTATGGATGTGTATACACATACGTATAGTGTATGTATGTTCCCCTTTATCAGACGCAAACCTAGTTTACTGTTCACTGACCTACTATGCGATTCTCATGACTTGTAGTAAGACTTACAGCTGTTCATGCTTTGATTATAAGCGTTACATTAAGTTGTGTTGCCAATTTAAAAAAAAATTAAAAAAAATGATATCTTTGCGAAACCGGTTCGTAGCCTTGTTTGTTTTTTGCTCAGATTAATGCCCTCTCATTCGTTGTATAAATTACAAATGTGTATTACATTGTATTCAAAAAAGCACTTAAGCTAGAGAGGGATCTAACAGATACGAGTCGAAAATGTTTTCACAAAAGCTGATTAAAATTCTTTGCTAGTCGCAGTTATCAACTCAATTACACGGCTATCGTCGTTTTTTGCCATTTCTTGAACAACGTTGGAAAACTTTCTTTTTCCTGTTTGTTTTCGTTTCACCAGTCTCCTGGCTTGCCGCCTGTTCACACTAATGTATGCGTAGCATAACAGGAATTAATAAGTGACTGCAATTAAGGAGTGTCAGGCACAAAGTTTATGGAAATTGACAAGCAGTTGCAAGATTCATTTTGTAATAAATTAAGTTTTAATAAGAGCAGGACAAAAAACAAAAAAAAAAATTTAGGAGAAAAACTCTGAAATAAGACTAAAAACTAACTATATATATAGAGCAATCCGTTAGCAAATTGATTGTGGGACATTGTGTTAATGAATATGGATATCGGGTTACTTCAGTACGGCTTTGTTTTTCACGGGCAGAAATGAGGCCAAGAGGCAGGCACCTGAAAGACAAGTGTGAGAATTAATGGAATTGGAGCAACAACAATTAACAACTTACAGAACATAAAGGCGCTGACCATGAGGAATGGCGGCAAGCAGCCCATCGACATCAATGCCGGAAAAAAGATGTTGCCCGCCAAGGAGCCCATGCGACCTACCATCATGCTCAGCGATACGATCATTGTGCTGTCGGAAGATAAATTTCTAGGTCAGAAAAGGTGGGGAAAACGAGAGGAAAGATAGCATGAGAGGGAATGAGAGAGAGAATGCGGGAGAGAGAGTGAGGACGTGAATGGGAAAGATTAAGAGAAAATAGGAAAGCGGAGAGAGGTTGAATGAGGAAGAGAGAGAAACTGAATGAGAGAGAGAGAATAAAAGAGAGAATGACACAGAGCTAGAAAGTAGCAGAGAGAGGAGGGGGAGAGAGCATTTAAGACAATGAGAAGAAGAATGGGAAAGTTAGCATGAAAGAGAATGAGAAAGAAAATGAGAAAGAAAATGAGAAAACGAATGAGAGAGAAAAAAAAATGAAAGAGATAGGATGAGAATGAGAGAGTCTCTCTATTTATTGAGAGAAAGATAGAATAAGAGAGATGGATAGAATGAGATAGAGATAGAACGAGAAAGCGAGAATGAGAGAGATAGAATGAGAGACGGAGAATGGTTAAGAACATATTAAAGTAAGAATGAAAAATCCGAGAAGGAGAGAATGAACGTGATAGAACGAGAATGAGTGAGGGATATAGAATGAGAGAGAATAGATAGAATGAGATAGAGATAGAGTGTGTAAAAGAGCATAAGAGAGACAGGGAGAATGAGGGACAGCGAGAGAGCGAGAGAATGGCGATCTTACACCTACCGCAATGAGGTGGGAAACATGCTGAGGGAGGCGCTTATAATTGATGTGGCCGAAATGCTGCCCATGCTAACAAACACAGAGGCAAGCGCCACGGTGGTCACAGATGAGCTCGACCAGTACATGCCCAGGGCACAGGAGCCGGCGGCAAAGAGACACATGGCTACAAATAAAAGTTAAATAAATAACTAGAGAAAAATCGAGATGATTTTGCTACGCACACATGATCCGCTTGAAGCCCACCAGATTGACCAGGACACCGGCCAGGGTATAGGATACCAAGCCAGCGGCGGCCACAATTAAATTGTTGGTGTAACTGGCGGCGCTTACATTGACCGTGCACACGGCCAATGGATCATCATCAAGGGCAGCTGCCGCCAGTTGTCGCTGTGTGCGATTCACGCTGTACTCAACAATGTTGCAGATGCTTGTGCCACCGGACTCCGGCTGCTGGCTGCTGGCCAGCTGCTCGTACTCGTTGATGGAGGCAAACAGCTGTGGGAGCCACAAGCGCATCGTGTTCTGGCTGCCAATTGGTTGGGATTAGCTAAGTTCATGTGAAATTGTCTGACGCTTACCCCAGGAGAACGCAAAAATTCAACAGATACACCCAAAGGGAGAGACCCAAATAGGGCTTGACAAACAGCGGTCGCAGCTGCAGTAGACCCGAATGCAGCGAACTCCTTGGCCGGCTGGCCAGCTCTGCGTCTGCTTCGGCAGCGACTTCCTTGGGCTGCGATTTATCGACAACGTCTAGCTTCGGTTCTAATTTAGCGGGCACTTCATTGGCCAGCTGTTTGATCTGCAAACAGTTGTTTAGTTTTTATTATATTTGAGGTTTTCCATTCGATTCACTCACGGGAAACGCGTCGCGCGGCTGACGTGTGTTCAAGGCATAGATGAACTTGAAGGCTTCCAGTGCCTCCTTGTTGCGTCCACGTGACATCAAAAACTTGGGACTCTCGGGAAAGAAGGGGAACAGTGCACAGCTCAAAATGCTGGGCAATGCACTGACAGCCACAAATACCTGCCAAGCATGCACTGCAAGCGGAAAATTAAAGTTCTTGTTAAATATTTAATTATATTTGGCGTAGAGAAAGCAACTCAATTGTTACTTTAAATGATTTTCTTATCATTTAGTATATAAGATAAAATCTTGTTTTTTTTTTCTTCATGTGAACCTGTTATTTATTTAACATGCGTGCTGCTGCCTTACATGAGCGTTAATATAAGTGCTGCCACCTAGAAATGCTTATCACACTGAGAATAATATTCATGACTAACAAATATAACTTTAATATGTCACTAAGTTGATTTAGTTTTTGCACATCTTTTGACAAGAAGATGACGAATATGCTGGATAAATTTGATCTCTACCCGAAATTGGCATTTACCAAATATGCTTAAACAAATAGAATGATTAGGGCTGAGAATATTTATGCTTCAAGATTTTACTTTAAAAGCCTTAAGCAAAACATTTGGTATAGAATTGTTGGGTTCGGCTTTGGTTCGACTGCCTTTTAGGCATATACATATGAGATTCGATGTTAAAAGTAGCTAAAAATGGCTGAATAAGCTATATGAACACAATTTGGCAATAAGCATGTCATTGAGATGCTTAAAAATAGCTGAAACAGTTTGCAATTTTAGCTGCTAAGTCAACATAAGCTAGAAATTTTAGCTTTTATTCAATCTTGAGATAACTTATTTTCAAATAGGTTA